TTCCTTCCCATCAAACTTCCTCCCTCCCTCCCTAATTATCCTTCCTTCACAAGCTTCTTCCCTTGCTAATTATCTTTCCTTCCTTCCCTCCTTCCTATCAAACTTCCTCCCTCCCTTTCTAATTATCCTTCCTTCCTTCCCATCAAACTTCCTCCCTCCCTAATTATCCTTCCCTCCCTCCTTCCTCCCTCCCTCCCTAATTATCCTTTCTTCCTTCCCTCCTTCCTATCAAACTTCCTCCCTCCCTATCTATCCTTCCCACCTCCCTCTCTTCTCATCTTCCTAATCAAAGAGACAAGCAATCTAGAACCAAGGAGAAATTTCCTGATAGTGAGAACAATTAGCCAGTGGAACTGCTTGCCTCCAGAAGTTGTGGGCGCTCCATCACTGGAGGCTTTTGAGAAGAGTCTGGACAGCCATTTGTCTGAAATGGCATAAGGTCTCTTGTTTGAGCAGGGGGTTGGACTAGAAGACCTCCATGGTTGTTCTGTTATCTAAGCCCACGTTGTATGAAATCCCCTTCCATTTCGAGAAAGGACTAATTTTTAAACTGCCCCCAAAGTCCTGGTTTGTCAGAATCTCAAGAGCTGGAAAAGGGAAAACATAAGTGACTGCAAGTTTTACCAGATCCTCCGTTTGCAGGAGCAGTTTACCTTGGAATATTAGACAGTACAGCAAAGAGAGCAAAACAAAGCAGCGTGGATACAGAATGCTAACTGAGATGGCGATTGCTCTAACTTAGCAAAAACTCTCTAACACAATGTTTCTCAACCTTGGCCACTTTAAGAGGCATGGACCCTCAACTCCCAGAATTCCCCAGCCAGCATACCTGTGCTCTGGAGAGTTAAAGATAGTATAGTATAGTATAGTATAGTATAGTATAGTATAGTATAGTATAGTATAGTATAGTATAGTATAGTATAGTATAGTATAGTATAGTATAGTATAGTATAGTATAGTAACGGTAACGGTAACGGTAACAGTATTAGGATAGTATTAGGATAGGATAGGATAGGATAGGATAGGAAATATGGAGTGGAGTGGAGTGGAGTGGAGTAGAGTAGAGTAGGGTAGAGTAGAGTAGAGTAGAGTAGAGTAGAGTACTGAGAATAGTTGGATTTTTAAAGAATAGAGTAGAGTAGAGTAGAGTAGAGTAGAGTAGAATAGCTTTGTCACTTTAAATGTACATTAATCAGCATACATTAAAAATGAGATTTCGTTGCATACAGCTCTCAAAGGGTAACCATCTCCAATATACACTGCATGAAACATGATAAAAAATTATGTATACATACATACACATATGTGGCCCAGAAAAACAACACAGTCTAGTTCGGACTATGTATACATATACATGGCGAGAAAAACAAATCTTGCGAGTTTACCAAACGGATGGCATCAGGAACAAAGCTGTTACAGACTTTAGTAGTCCTGCTATAAATACTTCAAAACCTCCTCCTAGAGGGGAGCAACAGCAACAGACCCTGAAGTGGCTCTCTAATGATGCTTCGAGCTCAAAGCACATAGCGCTTATAAGCAGGGTCCTGAATAACGGGAAGCGAGCTTCGTATGATCTTCCCGACTGTCCTCACCACTCTCTGCGTGGAGCTTCTATCTGAGGCTCTGCTGCCACCAAACCAGACAGGGATGCAGCTTACCAAATAGGTAAACTGAATCTAACCTAGACAGCATATTAAAAAGCAGAGCTAGATGTCACCTTGCCGACAAAGGTCTGTATAGTCAAAGCTATGGTTTTCCCCAGGAGTAATGTTATGACCGTGAGGGTTGGGCCACAGGGAAGACTGAGCGCCAAAGAATTGATGCTTTCAAATTTTGATGTTGGGAAGACTCTGGAGAGTCCCTTGGACCGCAAGGAGATCTAACCGGTCACGCTTAAAGGAAACCAAGGCCTTTGGAAGGATAGATGCTGAAGCTGAAATAATGTGTCCACCTAATGAGAAGTCCTTGGAGAAGACCCAGATGTTGGGGAAAGATGGAAGGCCAAAGGAGAAGGGGACAGCAGAGGATGAGATGGTTTGTTCTTGTTGCGAAGTCGTGTCCAACCCATCGCGACCCCACGGACAACATTCCTCCAGGCCTTCCTGTCCTCTACCATCTTCTGGAGTCCATTGAAGCTCACGCCTACTGCTTCAGTGACTCCATCCAGCCACCTCCTTCTCTGTCGTCCCCTTCTTCTCTTGCCCTCCATCTCTCCCACCATCAGGCTCTTCTCCAGTGAGTTCTTCCTTCTCATTAGGTGGCCAAAGAATTTGAGTTTCCACTTCAGGATCTGGTCCATGATGCAATGAACGTGACTTTGGGCAAGCTCCAGGAGACAGGGGAGGACAAAGGGACCTGGCATGGTAAGGTCTATGGGTGTCTACGGAGATTCTCAGTCATCCAGGTCATGGCTGTCCCCAAGGTGTTTTTTTTTCAGGAGGCAACTGAACTTTCTTGTTTTTCGTTGAAGACGTTTCGCTTCTCATCCCTGAAGCTTCTTCAGGTTCTGACTGAATGGTGGGGAAGGGAAGGATTTATACTCCTTGCAGACAGCTGGTCATTTGCCTTCTTTTAGAGAGTCGTTGAGGCCACTTGGAGGTTGATCTCTGTGTCCTCAGGGTCACCTGAGTGGTGCAAATGGGTATGGAGTCTTCTTGGCTGCAGGATGTTTTTCTGCCCTGGGTCCCTTCCCGGTT